TGTTTTTCCCCTCTTTAACTTCTCTTCCACAGAAGTTTGCAGCCCCGTATCTTTATTCCTTTGCCTTTCGGCCAGATTTTCTAGATTTTGATCATGGCTGTTGCTCTCCATGGTGGTCAACCTTCTGGATGCATTGTGCACAGCAACAGACAGCACACTTCAGGCGAGGTATTGCTACGGCCAAGAGGATGGGCACCTTCCTCCTCCGAGAGCTGCAGCAGTAGCCATGCACTGGTAGATCTCAGAGGTAATCTTGTAGGGCTGGGGATTGCTTTTCTATAGAAATGGGATGTAGGACTGAAAACATCTCTGAATCATCTTTCGTCCTTGTGGGCAGCTCTATCAAATCCTTCTTTTCAGGAGCTAATCCAGGATTTAGTTGCTTGCCACCTACTTTCTTACTGCATAGCTTGAATCGGGTTCCACCACTGGAGGAGGCCCTCAGAAGCACTAAAGAGGATGCGTTGATTTTACAAGCAAGTGCTAAGGGAGATACGATGCATCATCTGCATTGCTACAAGAGCTTATTTCCTGAGTGTGCATCTATCTTTAGTTACCATCACCTTCAAGAAGTGGCCCCCTGCTGGAACCGGCTAGAAAAACAGCTGGCTCCCCTGGCTGCAACTGGTGAGTTAATGGAATCCCCAAACTGAGCTGGTCTTGGGTGTTATGTTTCTGAAGGGAACAACTATCTATATTTTGCCCTCCAAGCTCAAGAGTTACCATCACAGAACTGGATAAAATGTGGAGACTGGGATGCTGTGGTGCAAGCAGAGCTTGGTCCTCATACAAACAAGTGCAGCTGTGAGCAGAGGGCACCAAGTAAGCCCACCACACACCCTCCTGCACAAGCCAGAGGAGTACAGGGATGCACAGCAGCAGGCAGAAATGCAAATCAAGGACTTGCAAGGAATGACTGTCCTGTCTGGGCCTCTCCCAGCAGAGCCATCAGCTCCAGTGTCCAGTTGTGAAACCCATCACCATGAGCCATTGGGAGCAGCTCTCCAGATCAGGTGGATCAGCTATGGGACCTGGAAAGTCTTGGCCAGTGTGGTGGTCTGTACCAGCAACAGGAGCAGGGCTGCAGTCTTGGGAGCGCATATGTCCAGGTGTCAGCAAGTGGGGAGACTGCGTGTCTGAGCCCAGCTGCTGGAGGATCCACCTTTTGCGCATACGTATATATTTTCTCGGTAGTGGATTTCCATCCTGCTCTGCCAGAGGAGGGGGGCGGCAGGATGAGGCCATCGGTGCTGTCTGTGTTAATGTGGGAGCTCTGAGTGTCTGTCTGTGATCTGTGTGGCCAGCCACGCATAGAGATACACATATGTATATGCATATACGTGCATAGATGTACACATGTGCGTATGTGTGCTCTGTGTGCACACGTCTGCTGGACCACATCTTCAGCCTCACCACTGGGTGGACCTGGGGACATGCAGCAGCCACAGCCTCCCCTCTCTTGGGCTGTTGGATCACAGGTGATGTATTTCCCTCCAACAACCTCAAAACCAGAAAAGCGAGACTATGATAGGAAACTGATTACTGTATTTTGATTTGCTTTTTCTTTAATATATACCATTTCAACCAAAAAATGCAGTACAAACAAAAGTACATGTACCCGAACTGGCCATTGCAAAGATAAACACTGATTTCCTAAACCAACCTGTTAATAAACAGTCACTGTAGTTTATTCTCCAGAAACACAGGAAGAAAAAAATGTTCCGATTCAAATCCTTCTACAAAAACGTAGTCTTGTGCTTACTTTTTTTGTCTTGCAACATTAAGTACATAAGTAGAATTGCTTATCCTCTGTGCATGTATTATTTCCGATGTTTTCACAAATTCCCAAAACATAAACTTCAGAGAGAAATCCCTGCAGGATGCCCTTGGGGAAATCTCACTCTGTTTTCCAGGTGCCCTAGAGAGGCTATGATGATTTATCCCATGACCATGGGACCGATGGGACATCATTCTGGTTTCATAAAGACCGACAGAGCCTGTGTTTGGGCTTCAGCATCATAATTTCTGAGTGTGGGTCTGCAAATTACACAGGAGACCTTTGAAACGAGAGAGGGTGGGTGAATTTCTGATACAAAGTCATGCTGTATGGTTAGGGGCTGACTGTCCTCATCAGTCTCTTAACAGCTAAATAATTTTGTGAGTAGGCAAAATCTTCCATCAACACCTGCTTGATGATCCAACCTGCCTGTAGTTTCACTGGGATGGAGGAGAATGGTGAAAAACTGCAGAAGCTCTGATGTAAGGTAGGAAAATTAAGGCTCTTATTAAGAACCTAGTGATAAAAAATGCGGCAAAGATGCAAAACAAGAGGAGGAAAATGACCATGCACATTGAGTGCACATGGAATAACACTTTTACACATGAATTCACAAGGACATTGAGTATCACAGTAGATAATAAACACAACAAACAAGGATTCTTAGTTTAGCACTGTATTTAGCGCACAGCTGAAATTGAGGAACCGAGGGAAGTTTTAAATCATAGTTGTTGGAAATAACTCTTCAGGTGTCAATATCTTGCACTGGTCACCGTTCTCAGAATAACGGGAATCTCAAAAAGAAAATATGTATGGACAAAAGGCAGTCTGCAGACAGGCTTCTCAAGCGTATTTCACTGTATCACCCCCAGAAGCTGCAGGAGAAGAAAGAGACATGAATGAATGAGAGAATAAACATGACTACTGTAATCTGTAAGAAGGAGTTTTAGGGACTGGTGAGATTGAATACCCCAAACTTAGTATGCTGCCCTTGCCCACCCAGGGGCACAACCATCCCTGGGTTTATCACACCTTGTTTCGATCAGAGGATGTATGGAGAAATAGGACTTTGTAGGTACCTGTAGGTAGCAGGACATGACATTTGCTGCTGTAGATGGTGCAGGCAATATTTGACACCAACGTGGAATTGCAAAAGAGTAAATTTTCTCTCATTGGCATGGCTGCTCCATCATCTCATCTCATTCCCCCGCAGTTAAGTTGCGTTTACTTACTCTGGACCTTCACTTGAGGGTCACATAATATACGAAGGCCACTTGCTCTTGCTAAGTATTCTCTATCAGTATTGTTGCTTCACAAAGGCAGTGTTTACTTTAAAATTTTTAATGCTGTGTATGATTGGTCTGTGGGATATAATTTCCATGTCACAGGAAATGAAATTGTTATTACTAAGGAACTTTATAATTCGAGAGTCCTGAGGTATTTTAGCAATAAGGATTCAAAAATCGGGTTACTGTATGTTTTTCATGGGAAGAAAACTAGCTGTAACTCAAAAAGCATTCAGGCATTCTTAAAGTAACTATGAGAAAAATCACATTTCAGGAATCATTTATCAGTTACAGCATCCAAAACACATTTTAGAAATATGGTAACAAATAAATTTATTTTGTCAAAAATACACACTTGGTTACACCTTAGATCATTCCTTCCTTTGCCTTATGTGCAGACTTTTTCCTCTTGGGAATCTTAACACATATTTAGACACCCAAAGTGTAGCTCCAGGCTGTCTGTCTACCCTCTCATTAAATGCAAGAAGTAAGCAAGTGATAATTGACTTCAAATATCTGAGAGCTTTTGCAGATGGATAGAATTGCCCTGTGGAAGTGTCTGACTCCAATCTTAACAAGCATATTTTCTGATAATGATATTGAGAGCTTCTCAGTAAAGACATTAGTGGGAGTGAAAGACAAGGATTGTGTCATGCACCGAGTTGGAGGAACCTGCTGGCACTGTATTACATATTGGAAAATCCTTTCTAAAGCCTATGAAAGTGAGAGCTAAAGGTATGTCTTAATATACTGAAAGGGGGTTTGGAAGGTATAAAATTGTTTTGAGGAAGGTTGAATGATAAAAACTTCTTTATAGAGAAGTAATATGTCATTCTGTAAAAATGCTGAGGTTATTCTCACTTGATTGATCCCAGAAGCTTCTGCTTAGATATGTTTGATAAAATCTATATTGTTTAACTACAATTGGTTCTGGATTTTTAAATGAATGATAGGTATTTTAGATGTCTGCTTGAGCAGTTTTGCGTTGGCTACGCAAAAGTAGACCAAAATTCTGAACTGGAAAGGAAGTAATGAAGGGAAAATTTGCCTCAAGATTTAGTCACTTTGGCAATCTTTGGTCCAAATGTTAAAAGTGAAAGTGCCAGTCTTCAGGAGTTATGGTGCATGATGGTCTGCAGGGAGACAGCTGGGGTTGATCTCCTCTCCTTTTCAGCATCTGCAGTGCAAGTGTCAATGTCTGAACGGGTCATCCTCAGAGGGTGAGTTGTCTTATCCCAAGAAAAGTAGTTCATAATAGGTCAGAAGAGTCACTTTTGTATGTTGCCTGGGAGGCTAGACAGCTCGTTTATAGCTGTGTATAGCGCGGTCATCCAAAGCAAGATGGATCTCACTTCTAACAACCAAGGAATCAATGCCAGAAGGAAGGAAGGACTACACCTGGTCTGTGGAGAGATAAAAAGATACCGGTTCCTAGACTAAAAAGCACAGTCACTGTCCCCCAGGATGTTAAATTCCAAGTTATGCTTTCACTTTGTGATGGGACCTTGTAGTAAGTGTAGCCTTAAGATGTTTGAAATGAACTAGATGTTTGAAGTACAGGAGAAATTGTCAGTGTGAACAAGGTCACGTGATTGCAGCTGTGGACAGGGTATTTATGAAACGCTTCATGTGCCCGAAAGAATCCTTGTGCAGATATGGGACTTGAAACTGGAATGGAATCACAAGTCAAAGGCGAGGTTGTGACAAACGGCCTTCTGTTAAGGACTTAAGAAAAAAACCAAACTTCTAAGAACTGCTGATATTTCTTCCAGGGATGGCACTGTCATTGCAAGAATTAAATCAGCAGTTCTTACTTTTTTTTTTCTATTTAAATTTGATGGCAGCATCAACTTTTTACATTGGTATTTATGAAGTGGAAATTGCATCAGGAATTTTTTCACCCTCTTCCCTCCACATCTCTCTGCAGTGATGTAAAAATGGCTGATGAGAACTGCACCGAGGTGATCCAGTTCACCTTCTTGGGCCTCACAGAGCACCCACAACTGAAGCCCATCCTCTTCATGCTCTTCCTGGGCACCTACGTGCTGACATTAGCGGGAAACCTTGGCCTGATCGCTCTGATCAGGGTGAGCTCTCAGCTGCACACCCCCATGTACTTTTTCCTCGGTAACTTGTCCTTATTGGACGTTTGCTACTCTTCCACCATCAGCCCCAAAATGCTGCTGGACCTTCCATCAAAAACCAAAGCCATTTCTTTTGCTGGCTGCCTCACGCAGTTTTATTTCTATGCTGTTTTTGCCACAGCTGAGATTTACCTGCTGGCTGCCATGGCCTATGACCGCTATGTGGCCATCTCCAAGCCCCTGCTCTATCAGGTCATCATGTCTTCTGGCATCTGCGTGAGGCTGGTCGCTGTGTCCTACCTTGCAGGGCTGCTGAATGCCATCGTGCACACAAGCGCCCTGCTCTGGCTGTCCTTCTGCGGTCGCCTGGTCATCAACAACTTCTACTGTGATGGGCCACCCCTGTTTGTTGTTGCCTCCACTGATGCGCATCTCAATGAGGGTTTAATGTTTGTGTTTGTGGGTTTCAACATGATGACCACCAACCTGCTCATCCTCGCCTCCTATGCCTGCATCGTGGTGGCTGTGGGCAGGATGAGCTCTGCTGCGGGCAGGCGCAAAGCCTGCTCCACCTGCGCCTCCCACCTGGCAGCCGTCATCATTTTCTACGTGTCTGCTACTTTTAATTACATGCAACCCAGTTCATCGAACTCACTGGAAAGCAAGAAAATCGCATCCATCTTTTACACCATTATCATCCCTATGCTGAACCCCGTGATTTACAGCCTGAGAAACAAGGAGGTGAAGCACGCCCTGACCAGTTTTATCAGGGGGAAAATGCACTTCTGAAAGACAATCTCATGTTATATTATTTTCCTTTTTTTCCTCTAAGGAGAATGTTTCATGTAGGTCTCTGAGACTGTTGCCTCCAAAACCGTTTGGTACCTCATATGTTAGGGTTGAAAAATTAATCGGTCTGGTATGAAACTGTGCCCGCTAACATAGCTACACCGGTCTTGTCTCTGGTACAAATTTCTTGCCCAGTTACTCTACCTCCCATGCCATAATCATGCTGCTGCTGTGCAAAACAAGGTAAAAAGTAAGTCTACAGGCAAGAGACAGTAACAATCTGGATCTTCACACAGAATCATAGCATGGCAGGAGTTTGACAGGACCTCTGGAGATGACCTAGTCTGACCACCTGCTCAAAGCCAGGTCAACCAGACAGGCTGCTGAGGAATGTGTCCACCCTGAATACTTTTAAGGATGGAGACTCCACAACCTTTCTGGATTTTCAGTGCTTGATCACCTTTACAGGAATAAAGCTTTTTCTCATGTTTAAATGGAGTTTCCTGTATTTCAGTTTGTCTTCTCACTGGGCACCACTGAGAAGAGTTTGGTTCTGTTCTCTTTATTCCTCCCCCAACAGGTATTTATGCTTACTGAGAAGATCCCCCTGAGCCTTCTCTTCTTCAGGCTGAACTATCTGAGCTCGCTCCTGGTATGAGATGTTCTAGTCCCCTTCCCTGGTCCCGCTGCAGCATGTCTTTGTGTCTCTTGCACTGAGAAGCTGTGACCTGAAGACGGCACCCCAGGTGTGGTCTCACTGACTCGACCTGCTGGTAATGCTTTTCCTAATGCAGCCCAGGAGGCTTTTCACCTTCTTTGCCATGAGGGCTGGCTCATGGTCAGCATGGTGTCCCACTGGACACCCAGGTCCTTGTCTGCCAAGCTGCTTTCCAGCTGGTTGCACTCCAGGCTTTACTGGTGCCTGGGGTTATTCCTCCTTGGCATTTCCCTCTGGTGATCTCCATGAGGTTCCTCTTGACCCATTTCTCCAGCCTTTCCAGGTCTCTCTGAAGGGCAGCACAATCATTTGTGCCACTCCTCCCAGTTCTGTATCGTCTGGGACCTTGCTGAGCGTGTAGTAGCTGGAATTCACTCAAAATGTTTGCAGCTACTTAGAACCATCACTCTTTTTTGTTTAACTAGAACTATTTGTTTCTATTTACTGTTTTTGTTAAGCAGTCTGACTGCAAACCGTATTTCCAGACTGCCTGGTGCACGTGCTAAGTGAGCATGAATTTTAATGTGCAGTACTAAATGAAGAATACTTTAAAAGCCACGCTAAAATATAAAGTTTTATTGATTCTAAACAAACTTGTCTTATATATCTGAATATTTCTAGGCCGAATCATAAAATGTTGCATTAACTTATCTGGTGAACACCATTGCCCTCCAGGATAGTAACTGTACAACTTCATAACCTTTAACTGAATATACTTTTCTGTATATATAAAGATCACATTAAATGACCCATTCAAATTCATTTTATGACCCTTTTCTTCAAGTAAATTTTCTTTTCTAGATCATATCAAGAGCCAGAGGTGCTTTTTCCTTTTGCTTAGTTCAGCACAGAATATGAAACAGCGATCGAGTACAAAACCTGCGGCTCTGAGCTGAAGTTAACACTTTTTATTGCCCCCTGTTCATGGCTTTGTACATAGATATGCTGCATTTCATCAGCCATCCTATTGCTCAGCCTCTCCTCACGCATGACGCCCCTGAGACCACCTCAGGGTGAAGAAGACCCCTGCGTTGTGCTCGGTGTTTCTTCATTCTCCCCATGCTAACACAAGATATCTCCGTGTCGCGTCGAGGATCTCACCCCACGCACCACCCCGCTGGTGATTCAGGCAAGTGCTCCATTCCAAGAGGTTCTCTAAGAGAAATAAGGTGCTAACATCCCCTTCCCAAGTCTGAAGCGAGAGGTTATGAACTCCCCCAAGCCTGCCAAGAAGTTGGCCTGCGCGAACAGTGAATTCACTAGGACTGATAGCATTTTTCACAGCGTATAGCGTTTTTTAACGTGTTATTTGATACCCTGTCGAAGTGAGTTGTTTTCCAGCAGCAGCATGTTTCAGGGAGATGCAAGGCTGCAATGCAGCAGCAGACAGGACTACGTTTTGACTTCTGCATGGGAAGGAGATGCAGGGTAAGTGTCGGGATGAGCCTTGGATGGCTGCAGATCAAGTCTTCTTTTACTGATGCTTTTACAAGATGCTTTTACTGATAGAGCTGGGTGTGGAGGGGACCACCTCACAGACTTCAGCCCCTCAGGCAGCAGAAAGCAACTGAGAACCACCAGCACAGTTAGCATCTGTGAATTGGGGTACTTCATACTGTTCAGGACCATGATGGCAACAATAGGTTGGTGGGCGTTGGTTTCTTCTCCCAAGTAACAAGTGATAGGACAAGAGAAAATGGCCTCAAGCTGTGCCAGGGGAGGTTTAGATTGGATATTAGGAAAAAATTCTTAACAGAAAGGGTTGTCAAGCATTGGAACAGGCTGCCCAGGGAAGTGGTTGAATCATCATCCCTGGAGGTATTTAAAAGATGGGTAGACAGATGTGGTGCTGAGGAACATGGTTTAGTGGTGGACTTGGCAGTGTTAGGTTAATGGTTGGATTCAATGATGTTAAAGGTCCCTTCCAACCTAGACCATTCTATGATTCTAATACGTCGCAGTGGCCCTGATCAGCCTCACCTGGTGTCTTCTTGTCCAGCCACATGCACATTCACCCCCTCCCATGCACGAGGACCCTCCATTTTAGGGGGCCTTCAGGCCCTCCCTGTGCTGCATTGTAAGTGTGTCTGGTTGCATCTGTTTCCTGGATGGACCTTGGACCTGTGCTGTAGATAGTTTTCTTCCTAGATGGGAAAATGTACATACATTGTAGCTTGTCTCCAGCTACATCTCCTTTTGCTTCTCACAGGACCCCCTGGATGAACTCTGAATCTGGTTTAACATCTGCCATGGCTGTGGCTGTTGATGGACCCCTTGTGATGTCCCAAGCACTTGTTGCAAGGTGCTGAGTGACTTCTGCCAACCAGAAGTTGTTGGCCAGGGGCAGCTGCTCTCTCAGCTGCTGGTGGTTTGATGCACAGATCTGTTGTCCTTCAAACTCCAGTGGTAAATTCTGTACCAACGACTGTAAAGGTATATGCCAACCCAGAAACTCCAACCACCAACTTCAGGGTGTGGAGTAGTTGTGACAAAGTAAACTGCTTTAGAAGTGCTCATTGCCTTTAACAAAGAGGAAAGTTTCCTTCTCCTCAGTGTCTGTGAAGTTGTCCCCCCGGGGCTTGTTAGGAAGAATAAGGTAAGTTTGCTATGAGCTTTCTAAGAAGGTTTCAAGATCATTAGAGGTTTCTTCATAATGCCCAGAAGGGCTTGTTAAGCAGATGACTCCTGGGTGCCTGGCCCCTAGGGGAGTTCCTTGTTTTGGGAAGGGGAGAAGTATAATTTGTGATTGAAACAGATTTAACGACTTAGCTGATGTTGGAGTTCAGGCCTGCTGAGAGGCTTCCAGTGGGTCGTGGTAGGACTATTGCCTCCACCTACTGCTAGACAAGGCCTCCTATTTGGTCTTGTTAAGATTTAAGAACTCTTGTTCTCCCTACATGCACAGTTCAAATGCATTTGTTTGCCTTCACTGATCAGATACTTTATCTTTGCCTTATCGTCCATATCTTTCACTCATGACAAGAGTATTTTTTAAAAAGTAAAGAGTCCTTTAGGTGTGGCAGGAGCCTGGGTCAGTCTAGAAGGTGGCTGGTGTCTGGCTCTGGCTACACTTCCCCTTTTCTGGCTTACTGTGCACTAAACATCTTTGCATTTACCTTTATATTTACCTGCTAAAGGCTTCATCTATCCAAGGACTCCCCCTATCCCAAGAGAGTCTGCAGGAGATGCAGACTTCTCCAGAACGCAGCCCACCAGGTCCAAACTCAACTCAGGGCTCGCTCAGCTGACGTAATCCAAGGCTAACTAATGCTCCTGGTAGGTGGCTGGAGGGTCTTGGTCCAGGATGGTGCTGGAATATCTGTCAGCATAGCACGTCTCTGCTGGGGCTGTGAGGAATGAGTTGTTCGCCAAAGCGGCAATACGTCCTACCCCAGCAAGGACCTGTGCCAGATGTCAGACCCCAACCTTTCCCCTGACCACTCTCAAAGGTGGCACGTAGCAGTAGCGGTAGACACCTGGTATGTGACCTTCCCCCATGGGACAGCAATCTGCCCAAAAACCCAAGCAAGGAGTTTGTCCTCGTATGTTTTATATCTCACGTGGCATAAGAGTAAGGGAGTAGTTGAAGATCCAATGCTAAATAAGCTTTCTCCTTTCCCTGCCCTTGCTAGGAAGGCCAGAGCCACAGCTGGGGCCACAGGAGAGCCCACATCTGTCTCTCTGGGGTGGGTTTCTGGGCACAGACCCACAAGTGCCACCTCCAGATGTTGGTGGCTGACAGCAGCGTAAAGAGCCAGGACTGAAACTATCCCTTAGCTTGGTCAGGTCAGGATGGGTGTAAGGACACTTCTGGTGTGTAGGATACCAGCTAATGAGTGAACGTTTGTTAGCTAATTGCATTTTCCACACTTCAACCTCCAGGCAGGGTTAGGATGCACCAATTGCCCTCAAAACACCTTTCTAGTCGCTGCTGTGATCTCCCTTAGGCAGGGACAAGAAGTACCAATCTTGCTCCAAAACAAAATCCAAAACTTTTTGGTGGGACTCCACTTTCTGCTAGCTCGCAGAGGACACCACACCAGCACAAACCCTGCCTGTTAAGGTTGGTTGGTTTGTGTTGGCAAACATTAAAGAACAAACGTACACCATGAAATTACAATTACAAATTTGTGTATCCAGGACAACTGTTATTTTTAGGTGCAGTTGTTAAACCTCAGTCGTGCGGGGTGGGGTGGGGAGAGAGTGTCTGCATATCTGTAAGGTTACAGCTATAAAGGCTGAAGTTCATCTTGCCCAACTATGGTAGTCTAAAAACTAATTGTTTGGAATAATCTTAAAACAGGTGTCTAAAAGCCAGTTTTCCTGGACAGACAGACAGGGAAAACCACAAAGCAAGCACCAGATCACAGATGCCTGAAACAGCTTATTTGTATTTTACATTTTTTCAAGTGTATTGATTTTATTACCTCCTTTTTCAGTGGGGGTGGGGGTGGGTGGGGGTGGAAGAGATATTAAGGTGAGAATTGCTCCCTTAGTCTTCCATTCACACACAAATCAGTGTATTGTCCTGGCAGCCATTTGAATGTTGTATGCATTTCTTTATTACGGCTGTAGAATTTGGACAGCTTTCCCTCAGTCTAACGCTGGCCAATCTGCTCAATCTGCTTTGGCTGTACATGTCTCAGACTTCATAGGGATTTGTTCTTGCTTTCTTCTCATACTGTGGTTTATTTGGACTTTGAAGTCCATTGGGGAAGGACTTTCTGTGGGTTTCTCTAGGCCTGAATTGAATCATTCCATCTAACTTTAGTCATCAAAGTATGTCTACATAAGGAAGGTCGATTGGTCTGTGGAGAGGTGTTGTCCCCCTGTAGTCAGTGGGCGATTCTGATACAAAATTGGGAATTACAATGGCATCCAACAACATCCAGATCTCAGCTGTAATGTCACTGAGTAACAAATAAACCCACACCACAGAAAGGAGGATGCGCAGTCATCCATGACTGAGAAAGCTACTGGGTGATGTGCAAAACCACCTGTTGCATGAGGGTGAGTAGAAAGCCCATCTTTAAAAAGCTTAGTTTAACTGTCAGTAAGTTCAGGAGGTTTGGAATACTCTTCATCTTGCCTGGGTTACTTAAACCCAAAGGATCTATCTTGGAGTTAGAGAAAGAAAATCCCTCTCCAAAATTCATGTCTGATTATGCCCTACTCACATCAGAAACCAAAACAATCTGCTGTCAGCTGTCCACAAGACAAAATAAAATTGGAAGATCTTGGCCCAGGAGGGGCCAGAGTTGGACTGAAATGCAGC